CCTTACTTCCTCTCTCTCTCTCTCTCTCTCGACCTTTGCCTTCGAGAAGACAGGAGGACTTCAGACTTTCGCTTTTCGTTTCGATTTTTGGAGAAGAAGAAGAAGAAGAAGTCGCCGCCGCCGCCGCGAAAGGTTTCGCGAAAGGACGAAGGAACGGAGAAGAAACCGGGACCGAAGCGATGTTTGCTCGGGCCTTATCTCGTCTTCCGGGTACTTTGGTGAAACTCCGTGTGCGGAGATAGGACGAGTTGGAAGATGTAAATTTGAGAAGTTAAAAGGGAACGCGTATATTTCGAGGCTTTTAAGGCACGAGTTCCGTTCCGCGGTTCGGAATTCTCGACAACGCCTTTTTCAATTTCCAAAATTCGAAATTCGATGAGAGATCGCGGTTTCTTATCGACGACGACGATCGAAAGTGGATAAAGCGAGGCGGAATCTAGTCGGACGCGAATCGAGAAGGATGCAAAGCGACAGTTGGGACAGGAACACGTTGGAGGAAAGGCGAAGCGAGCGCGTTGGCTCGGTCCCGAGGCAGGGGGAAGGGGGAGGGGACGAGGCGGCCGTGCGCCACGGAGAGGACGACGGACGAGGAAAACAAGAAGAAGCGGAGGATCTCGCGAAGCAGCGAGCCACACAAAACCCGTGGAGTCGAAGAGAAGCGAGACGAAGAGAGGGATAAGAGGGACGAGAACCAGCCCGAGTCCAGGCCATCCGGCCAGACTCAACCACGAAAAGGTGTAGGGCGAACGTATACAAGGTGTGCCGTAAAATCGCGCGGCTTTTGTAATAACGACTCTTGCCAAATTTTATTCCGCTTCTGCTCGTTTATTCTCAAATAGGGGGATTACGAAGGTTACGATCTCGTTTCAATTCTAGATTCCATTTTCCTCGCGAGTTTCACAATTTGAGAGTAATCGTAACGAACGTCTAATCGACTCGATTACTCGACTCGAACACTAATAAATTAGGTTAAATCACGGTCCTCGACGACTCGGGACGATAATTAACGATAAATAATCGACGATCGCAATGAGAGAGAAACGATTGGATATTTATTTCGCGTGCTATTAATCGAGGGTTTTATTGGATCGCGAAAAAACGCGATCGATTCGACGAGATGGAAAAATAATCCATTAAATGGATATTCGTAATCGATAATCTCGCGTTAATCATCGATCGCGTTTTCTCAATCGATATCGAAAGTGTTTCCGTTCCGAATCCAACGAAACGATAATTATTTCGTAAATTTATAGACAATATCTATCTGTTTTGACATGGAAATTACGGTATATGCCATGTGTCGATGGATACGATGGATGCGGTGTTCGAAGATTGGTAACGAAAGGGAGGGGGGAAATTAATGGATCGTCGCGTCTCGCTCTGGATTTAACGTCGATTGGACGGTACGGCGAAGGGTACGACTCCGTAGGGTCCTCCCGGGAAGAGGAGAAGGAGGAGGAGGAGGAGGAGGGTTTACGGCGTCTGAAAATAAACTGGGACGAGTTTACACGGAACGAAACGCGGCAAAAAGGGGATCGGACTCGGTGAGGTGAGCAGAGAGCATATAAATGCATCGCTTAGCGAATCGGAGTTTTGCGAGCGTGACACCGCACCGTGGCCAGCTTCGGTATCTCGGCCGATGCCAAGATTAAGTTGCGATTAAATTGCAAGAGCGAGCCGATTCGTCACACTCCATGGAAATCCAACTTCTTTGATTCTGCGAACCCGCAGATCGCACAAGGATTTAGCAAAACCTCACCTCTACTACCTCCACCTCTAAGAATAAAAATAACGATAAATCGTCATTTTTAAAACCGGACACGCTTTTATACACGCTTGCGAAACAACACGATGAAATTGATTCGATTATGGTCACGATACGTTCGTTCGAGTAGGTAAATCGTTCTCGAATGACGATCGACCGAATTTAAATTTGTATCGCAGCGTGAACGATGATTTCGAAAGAAATCTTTCTTTTTTCCTTTTTTTTTTTTGCCATTCGTTTTCACGATCGGCAATAGAACGGTTCGATCCGTTCGCGCGACGCGCGATAATAAACCTCTAAACCGAGAGAGGTTATAAAATTCCGCCGATATATCCCTCCCTCCCTCTCTCCCTGCATCTTGTTGACCTTTGCTTTTTCACTGGCTGTCATCGGGTATTGCCCAAATGCGTTATCACTTTCCTCTCCCTCCTCGTTACCCGCAGAGAGAGGAGAGATAACGTTTACTCCACTCGTTTACTTCCCGGTCGAATCCCCGGGTGACGACCGGATCCCTCCCCGTTGATTGGCCGAGGCCGAGAAATTTCACCACCGATCCCCCTGATAATGCGGTCGGTCGGTCGGTCGGTCGGTTTTGGGCCGGAGGAGGAAGGAACGCGACTCGCGGGAAGAAAAAAACGAGGGACCGGGGGGAGGGAGGAGGGGGGGGGGAAGAGAGAGGAAAAGAAAAAGAGGAAGAAAAAGGCGAAGGAGATAAGAGAGCGGAGGAAGGGAGGTGAAGGGATGGAAGGGATCTCCGGCAACGGTCTCCGGAGGGAGCTGCAGAACCGGAATTTTATACAGTGGTGTAACACACTAGGTAATACGCGGAGAATCACGAAACTCCCGGTCGGAGGCTACCGCTCCTTTCCTCTTTCTCCTTTCCACCGCTCTTTCTCCTTCTCGTTCCGCTTCCAACACAGAAACGTATCTTTTCCTTACCTTCCGTATCTTTCTTTCGTTTTTTGTTCCCCCTCCTCCTCGTTTTCTCTCCCCGGGCCGGGTTCTGGCCGGGTCGTCGAGATCTCGTTGTTCGATTACCCCCTTTTCGACGAGGTGGACCGCGCGCGGTTCCCCTTATCGCGAATGCCTAAGACTCGCTCGCTCTTCGCTCCGGTCAATTAAGTAACCTGCGTTACACGGCTAATTAATTTTGCCGCGATTAATTAAGCGCCCCGTCTCGATTCGTTGAGATCTCCAACGAATCTATGCCACGGTGATCAATATTTTCCAGATATTTCTCCATATCTCCATCGTTTCATCGTGAATTATTTTCATCGTCATTCGAAACGAGAATCGTTAGGGATGAGGGGGAGGAAGGTTTGTTGGAAGGTCGACGACGACGACGACGACGACGACGACGACGTGGTTCGATCGTTTCGTTCGTTCGTTCGCACAGCCATTGTGTCGCGCGCGTCGTAATAATACCAGCACAATGGTATTTTCCCATTTTACGGGACAATGGTTGGGGAGAAAACGCGCGAGAACAAAGGGGGGAAGAAGAAGCGTACTCGGAAGAAAGAATGATCGATAAGGAAGAACCGAGCGGAGACAATGGTAAGAGGGCGACGGAGCCGCGCGGTGGCGGCTCCTAGCGGCGATGGCCAGAGGTACCGATGACCTTGCCAAGGTCACCGCGTCCTAACTACACACAGACCCTTCCTTCCTTCCCTCCCTCCCACCCTCCCTCTTTTCTCGCTCGCTCGCTCGCTCTCTCTTTCTCTCTCCTCCCCCGTCTCTCTTTCGTCCTACATGGCCCTTATTATTATAAAGCAGTTGCCCTGATTCCTCGGAGGCCGTGTGCCATTCATTCCGCCTCTCCTTCGCCCTCTCGCTCCCCTCCCCGCCCGTCTTTTTCATCTCTTCGCTTTTTGTCTCGTTACATGCACGGATTCTCTCTCTCTTTCCCCCCGCCCTCTCTCACTCTCTCTCTCTCTCTCTCATCCTTCATCGGTTCGAAGCTGAAATCGAAACCTGGCCGAGGACCGAGGCCATTATCGCGTCTCTATTGTGCGACGACGCTCCGTTTCCACGCTTGCGATCCACGCTTGCTTCCACGTTTCCACCTCCCCTCCCCTCCTTTTTTTCCCCCCTCCCGATATTTCTACGCGCTGGCGCGAAACATCTCGACAGCGTCGAGTTTTTACCCCCTCGCAAGAAAATGGTGTTTCTTTTTTTTTTTTTTCGTTCACGGTACCTCGAATCGAATCGGACGAAAGAGGAATTTTAAAGAAGATCGTCGTGTTCGCAACCTCGTTCGCAAAGAATATCGGAAGAAAGAGAAAAGGGACGAAGGAAAAAGCTCGCGATACTCCACCTACTACTTTGTCTACCTACGCACTCTTTCTTTTAAAAATATCTATAGTAGTTGAGCATCGATTTTCTCCTTTCCTTGTTGCAGGAGCAAGAACGGGGGTGATTCGTCGGGGATTCACGAGGCGGGGAACAACACAACAGGTGGCGGTGGCGGAGGATTGGGGAAATGGCTACGCGAACATTTGGGCGGTGGTTCGAAGAGCGTGGGCCAAGAGGGATGCGGCCCGGCGAGAACGAGTAGCGTAATGCTCGCGGAGACGAGTTGTGGAAAGGGGGAGAGATGGTTGGGGAAGGGAGGAGGTGTGTACACGCCCTCGCAGAATCTGTATTGCAGCCTGCCGAGGGAGCACGGCCGTCATGGCACCGTGTACAATAGCGGCCGAAAACTGGCCGGGAACTGTGGCAAGCCCCAAGGCCAGGAACGGCAGCAACGATGCGCCGCGAATCATCACGAGAAGATGATCAATTTCGCCGAGCTTGGTACATTGACGAGGGGCGGGCCGATATACGGTAGCGAGGGGAAGACACCCTCGAGGAAACGAAATCGCGATCGACGAAGGCATTCCCTGAACGAGATCCACGAGCAGGGCCGACAACGTCGTAAGAGGTGAGCGAAATTTCCATTTATCGATCCATTAAACGATCGGCGAGGAGGATTGAAACTCGTGCCGAGATCAATTCGACTCGTTCGTTTCGTATCGCTTCGTTCGTGTTTCGGGGAAGAGCGATCGAACCTACTCGATCGTTCTACGACTCCTGTTTCAAGTGTATCCTGGAGCTGGAAAATGATTACACGTGACAAACGTGACGAGATTTTTTTTTTTAACGATGCAAGTTTTAAGAGTACGCGCGTACACGTTCTATCGCGATTAAAAACGCGACACGGTGGATTCAAAGTTGCAAGAAGAAATTGGAAAGGGCCCCGCGCCGGGTACGTACTACCGGAGAGGTATATAATAAACGAGCACCGAGCCGGTGCAATTAATTTCACGCGGCGACTCGCGGCCCGAGGCGGTTTTCTTATTCGAGCCGCCGCTTTTCCCGTGTCGTGGAATCGCCACTCGAATCACGGTTAGACGAGCGTTCCTTTTTGCGCGCGGGAGACGCCGTCGCTCGCCGCAACTTCGCGGAACCCTTTCTATCCATCTCTCTCCCTCTCCCTCCCTCTCCGGCACGGGAGACGCGTCGAAAAAGGGAATTACGAAGGCTAGCCCGCGGCACGTTTAACACCCAACACGGCGTACGACAAAAACACGGGTCGTGGAGAGTCGTTGCCGAGCCCGCGTTATCCTCTCCGCGAGCAACGTTCGATCGTGGATTATCAATCGCGACGGGAGGACGACGCCGATCTTGGGCCGGTAAACGACGAATTAAACGCTCGGAGACGTTTAAGCAACGACTCGTGGTACGATACCAACGGCCGTAACAGACGGCCGACAGAACCGCGAATCAGAAACTCCGGCGAGTGTTTAACAATTTCGTCGAATGAATCGGCATTAACGCGTTTGTCGTAACGCGCGCGTCGGCATCTGCGCGCTCCGTGACTCGCCACTCTTCGCGAGAAACAATCTGCGCGCCGATGGCTGACGCGAGGCGACGAAAGTACCAAGGACTCTCTCCGCTCTCCGCTTCCCACCCTTCTTTCCCTCTTCCGTTTCAATCTCGAAGGAGATCTTCCCAACAACCGCGGAAAACCGCGTCGTTCGTTCGCTCGTTACCAACCGAATACCATTGTTCGCAGTCGGTGGGATGACCAACAACACTTCTCCCCCGTATATTTCTCGATATTTCTCCTCGCTCTTTCCTCCTATTTCCCACGCGTATTATCGTCATCAATCTTTAGAAAGTTCTTCTCTCAGGCCGGGCCGACCTTCTTCTGTTAAAGTCAAATCGTGAAAAACGAAACGCGCGTTCTTCCCGATTCCTGCGAAGCGAATAGGAACAACCCTTTTTTCCTTTTTTTCTACCATTTTCTCGCTCGCGCCGGCCCCATAACCAGCTTGGCGCGAACGCGTGCAAAGAAAAAGCCCGCGTCCAGATACGTATCGACGCTCCTTTCACAGAGGTGGGTCGAGAGATGAAACCGCTCTCTCTCTCTCTCTCTCTCTCTCTAGGCTAGGATGATTTAACGCGGCGGCGGCGATGCCCCCGCGAATGTGTCCGGTCATCACGACCGTAGCGAGACGCCAGCTCCTTACGCCGGTTGTAAGTGTCCACCACTGGTATGCGGCCAGTATGTACGTCCGGGATATACGGTCGTCTTCGTGCTGCTCGTCCTTCGTACGAGTCCCTTCCTCCTCTTCCACGTCCCTCCTGCGCCATCCTCGTGCTCCCCGTAACCCCGCCGAATACCGATGTACCCGTTGGTGTTGGCTCTCTCTCCTTCGATGCGCTTCACCGGAGAAAGGTGAAGGGGGAATGAGAAAATGGAGAGAGAGAGAAGAGAAGAAGAGCGGCAGGGTTGTTGTTGTTGGTCCTGAATTTACGACGGAGACCGCGATAACCTCGATAGCCCGCGACACTGTTTATCGCGTTTCTGCAATTTCGGAAATTTCTCTCTCTCTCTC